CCCGGCGCACATACCACTCGGCGACGGAAGTCGTCAAATAGAACTCTCTTTAATACTATCAAAAACGAACGCATTGCCGATTTTCAACTAGTCTAGTCTATGAAAGTGGCAAACGGCCAACCTCTTTTGATAGTTCATACATAAATCTAAAGATAAAATAGTCTTCCTACATTTCCTTATTCATTGTCTCATTTATCGTTTATCGTTTATCTTTACGAGAGTCGGGATGGCGACATTGTGGCGCGAAACAAGAGCTGGCAATACAAAAGTTAGGCAAAGGAATAAACTGTTTAATTGCTGTACAGTTTAATAAAAAAACTGTTTTTTTAACATGTTTGAAATGCGACTGATGTAAGTTTTACCAACTAATTGAGTTAGTGAAGGTCAGTGCCCCAACAGAAGGGACATTAATTGGCTAATAATGATAATAGTTCCGAGCGAATCACTACACAACAACTTCCTATACTCACATAGGTAAAGTACGAAATCAATTAAAACTGTTTCCATTCCTCACAACAGATATGTTTGCTTAACTAATATCATAGCTTATCACACTATAATATTATACAGGCGAAAGTTTGTGAGTTTAATAAAATTTGGTATGGAGTTAGCTGTCACCCTCGATTAACACACAGGCTACGTTTTACCCCGGGAAAAAATCCCTTATAAACCGCGGGTAACACCGCAGAGCACAGCTAGAAATACACATACCTATATATAATTTATATGGGCTTTACTTTTGCTTGAGAATACTTAATTCAATAAGCCCCAACATAAACATATAGGTGAAATTGACTTGAGTGGTTCATTTTTCTTCCTCATCAGCAATCTATCCTAACCAGGTGTAATTAATTCACTGCACCTTAAATAAAATAAAAAATAAAGTCTATCATAAGGCATAATTAAAGGGGTATTCCAGCACAGTCTTGCCGCTTGTTGTGCTTGACAGTGCTATATCAAGTAAGTACATAATCACCAAAGTTAACCAAAGTTTCCGTCGCTTATCGCTAATAATGCCATAAATTCTTTATTTTATTTGTTTTTCTTTTCATCTTTTAGATATTAAGGTAGATAACTAACCTACAGTCGAAAATTCATTATGTCGAGGATCGATTGAACGTCTGAGATTGAACGAGCAAAAAAAAACATTTTGATATACAGTACGTTACCCCTAGCACGAACCAATATCAAATTCGTATCGTTTGCGAGTCCGAAATGTCATTGACAAATGTGTACTGATTTTTAGTTCTCGTTACGTACTTTGTGGCGCTGCTGTTCAAGTTTCCATACAAAATTTGACATTGACATTTCGCACTTGCAAACTATTAGAATTTGATACTGGTTCGTGCTAGGGGTACTGTATGTATTTGTCATTGTCATATCTTAACTTTCTTTTTAAACAAAGGACCCATCGAATCATAAGTTCCAGTTAAATCAAAACTCTAATAGCGTACGTAACCAATGGAAACGCGTTAAACCCTTATGGTTATTATTAGTAATACGTAATATCTCTAAATACATGCATAACTGTACAGCAACAGATAATCCCACAGAATTGAACACCAGCATATTCCAGTTACCTATCACGATACCCATTAGCTTAGATAATGAATCTTCAACACTGTTACTATATTGAACGTGGAATATGAATATTCTGATTCACATTAATTGACTAACTGTGCCCCGCAATGTTACCCGCTATTTATTAAGGATATTTTCAATCAGTAAAACGTAGCGTATGTGTTAATCCAGGATGTCAACTAACTCCATACCAAATTTTATTTAAATCGCTCCAGCCGTTTAGACGTGAAGAAGTAACAAAAATATCACTCACAAGCTTTCGCCTCTATAATTTAGTGTGATTTTCATGAAAAATAAAAGCCTAACTAAAATTGTACCTGCTTCGATAATGGTACAAGGGAATGTTTTATAACTAAAAAGGCACGTTAGATTTTAGAGAATGCAAGATAATTGCAATTAAAACAGCTACCCCAGGTATCCGACCCTCCGCACACAAAGGACTCGCTCGTTTACTGCCGCCAAAATATCCGAAAAATATCCGATACATCACTACACCCTAACCCGCGACGCGTGACCGAACGTGACCGAACAAAGCTAATGATTTCTACACTGCAGGCCATGATTAATGGTTTGCCCGCATTTAATTCTAGTTATTGCCGCAAATGTAATCACTCCGCGCGCTGAAAGGGCAACGTCGTCGAATACGAAACAACGACTATTTTCGGATACAATCCGATTGTGATTGGTATTGAACGTCATTAATCTAGTGAGAGAGCAGATTTCACAGGCCGCTGAATAAGTTAATTTATGATGAGCTGGAAGTTCATTCGTCCATTCGTATTCCAAAAGAAACCGAATAATATTTTCGCCATAATCGAAGAGCTGTTTTTTATCGTCCTTATATTTTTTTATAATATTTAAATAGTTATTTATGCAGATGGGTATTAAAAGTCATGTGCTCCTATTATCACACTTTGCTTCACCTCATGTTTTAATACCTAATTATAAACTGTTGCATACAAAACTAACTTTATGTACACCTTATCTTCGTATAGCGTATGAAAGGTTGTGAAACCAATGGACGTTCTAAGAACTTAAAATTCATGAAAAGTTTCGGCACTGCTGTGAAACGCGCTTATGACAATGATCTTTTTTCTTAATTCATACAGATGCCAGGCATCGAGCATTAAGAATGTGGCTGTCTGATGAGTAAACTCTTTGCGCGGAAGGGATCGAAAAAGCGAAGAAGTGATATTATGAAAGTAAATACAACATGATATGATCCGTTTGGATAATATTATGGTTACTAGGACATTGTTTTGTTGTTGGTAATTAGATAGCTAACTGTTTTAGAATATTTTATAGTGGATTTAAAACATGGGAGTAATAATATAAAATCCTTAATTCGTGTACTTTCTGAAATAGCAATTAAAAAGGAATCTTGAAACATCCAAAGATGGCAGAAGCTCGTCTTTAGGTAATTCGATTGCAAAGGCAATCCGTAACGCTTCCGCAGATTAATGGGATACGTCCGTAAAACATCTGCGATCCCAAGGCAAAATATAATTTGAATTTACTAAATTAACTGTGCTTTAAGTAAAATGTCTGATGACCCGAATGTTCGCGTTCATAACAAATATATTATTGTTTACGCGAAATAGGCCAACCGAGACGGCTCCAATCGCAAAACAAGTTAATTAAAAACTTCTGTTTATTTATAAACTCGTTTCAAATTAACTGATGAACAAAATAGAAATCTTTACACAATAAGTTATTGTTTCTTAACTCATAAAACTCATTGTTGTTTTCGTATTGGAAAAAATATATATTTATGATTTCTAATTTGACCGGAACAGGAGATATTTGTTAAATATCTCAAAGTTGTAACTGAAAGATTGAGATTAAACCATTGCGTAATAGATTATTAGGTATAATTGAGATCGGAATACATCATAATAATATATAATTATAGCAAAGGGCGGAGATGGTAATCGAGATGAATAATTATTTAAATGGAGACGAAGACTAAAGAAAAGGACGCATTGCATTGTAAATGTAAATTATATGAAGTAATGATAAAAGCTTTGGATTCGCAAGACATTATCATCATCCTTTTAGATGAACAGTATTGCTTAATGAAACTCAATAGAATATTTATAAATTTTATGAAAAAAAAAGGAAAAATAATTGTATATTTTCCAAATTGACCAAACAAACAATGGCCTTTCTTTTAACCATTTTCAGTACCAGAACCGTATTTTTTTAAATAATGATTATTTTATAAATGACCTATCAATTATACCTAGGTCCACATAAGAATAGGACTTTTTCCTACATGCTACGCAATTAAAATAGTCTCTGGGCAAGGTTTTCAATATGTTTTCAACGTTGATCAACGATGTTGTATTGCCTTATGTTTGATTAGTGCAAGCTTAAGTGATAAGTGTTGATTAGTGTAAGTTGCATCTAAATCACCTGAATTAGTTACTTACAAATTAGTTCCACTTATATTCGCCAGTATTGTATAGAGTACATGGATGGACACAAAGACATAAATTGTAATTAATTTGTAATTATTGTTCTACCTTTTGATACATGGTTGTAATTTGAAGTATTATTAAATATTAACTTTATGAACTTATATGGTTGTTAATTATAGTAGTATATATAAGACATAAAACTATATAGCTTGAAACACAAAAATAATAAAATTTGAATGTCAAAAGCTTACTGCAAAGGTTTTATCGAAACGCCTCTATCTTTTTAGGAATAACACGATGGGTGCCGGACAAAAGCGCTGTCAAAATTAAACGCACCGTGGCCGACGGAATGGACCCTTTTGACGCCGTATCAACCGAGTGTTGTTTCAGACAGACAGACAAACAGTACCATTGTGCCGCGCCCTCGCCAGTTACTAATGAAAACCTCGCAGCGTTTTCCATTCTAAAAACCTGTAACGGAAACGGCGTAAGATTCAAAATTGAGGATGTCGACAAAAAATTTTATGCGCCGTCACCAAACTGTATGAGACCCCTAATTGTAAAACCGTTACGTCTTGCGCCGGACGGAATTATACTGGCTCAGGCAAGAAGAGTGGATCAAATTATTTTGGACTGTTTATTTTTCGAGTTGACGGGCGGTCGCTTAATTAAGAGTGCGAATGATAGGCCCTTTCCAGAGCTTTTTTTAAGTGCGTAAGCTTTTTTAAACGCGGGATGTTGTTGGCGTGCCGGCTGCGGCGCGCCGCTTAAAATAATATTGACAAACAAATATAAAAACTGCCGATTCGACACGGCCCGTTAACTAAGTACCTACTGTTACTCTCTGAAGACTTATATTATTTGTGAAATTTATTAGACCTTTTTCATATTCCAAAAACGATATTCTTACTGTACACGCTTACATTAACTTACAAAATTCAAAGAAACACAATATGGAGTTTTTTTTTATCTGACTAGTTATGTTGTATTTTGTTGCAGGCGTCAGCAGCGCACTACCAGAGTCAAGTAACGGCGCTGAGTGCTGAGAACGAACGGTTGCGGGGCCAGCTGGGCGCGCTTTCAGCGGGACTCGGCGCGAGCGAGCACGAGCGCAAACTGGACGATGTCGCGCAACAAGTGGTGCGCGCGCTGCTTTCACAGAAGGTAACACTCGACACCTTGCCATGTAACAACGCTAGCGCTGAGAACTAGGGGTTGCGGGGCCAGCTAGGCGCGGTCTCAGCGGGATTGCGCGCGAGCGAGCACAAGCGCAAATAAATAAAAATATATATAGATCTTCAAAAACAATTTGTTATTTTAAATAATTTAATATTTGGGAAAATTAGTGCAATTTCAACATCAAAAATTAAAAAAATAACTTTCTTAAGATTTAAACATCAAGCAGTTGCATGCTTTAAAAATAATAAAAATTATAACTATAATTGCTATTTCTTCTTTCAAATGTTTAATACTTGTAAAAGTATTCATTTGACATTGTGGGTTTACCTATAATGCGAAGAGATGGCGCTGCCTTGCAGCTTAAGAATAGCTAGAAAGAATTTCGACGCGGTCCGTGAGGGCCGCGGTAGCATAATTGGTCAGTGCATTCGCCCGGATTGCGAAGGGTGCGGGTTCGAGTCCCGTCTGCTGCCTGGTCCGCGTGGAATTTTTTCTAGTTATATTTTCTTAAGATTTAAACATCAAGCAGTTGCATGCTTTAAAAATAATAAAAATTATAACTATAATTGCTATTTCTTCTTTCAAATGTTTAATACTTGTAAAAGTATTCATTTGACATTGTGGGTTTACCTATAATGCGAAGAGATGGCGCTGCCTTGCAGCTTAAGAATAGCTAGAAAGAATTTCGACGCGGTCCGTGAGGGCCGCGGTAGCATAATTGGTCAGTGCATTCGCCCGGATTGCGAAGGGTGCGGGTTCGAGTCCCGTCTGCTGCCTGGTCCGCGTGGAATTTTTTCTAGTTATATTTTCTTAAGATTTAAACATCAAGCAGTTGCATGCTTTAAAAATAATAAAAATTATAAAAATAACAGTAATTAAAAATAATGAATAGAAAAAGGGATTCGTGCAGAGGATTTTGGATCAAATCCACATTCAACACGTGACACCATGTCAGATCATCACAGAGCGGTGCCGGAACTATATCCTTACCCCTGAGGGCGAAGCTTACCCATCCATCAATGTATTCTCCATCAGCAATGCCTAATGGGCTCAACTGATGTCTTTGTCAGAGAAGCATAAAAAAAATGAATAGAAAAAGGGATTCGTGCAGAGGATTTTGGAGCAAATCCACATTCAACACGTGACACCATGTCAGATCATCATAGAGCAGTGCCGGAACTACATCCTTACCCCTGAGGGCGAAGCTTACCCATCCTTCAATGTATTCTCCATCAGCAATGCCTAATGGGCTCAACTGATGTCTTTGTCAGAGAAGCAAACTTACTAGCGCGGTTTGGACATCACTGTTGACTGAAAAGTTGAAAATACCAACATGAAAACCTATAGCTTATATCAAATTAAGTGTGTTTCCCAAACCAACATTTACCGTTTCGTCTGACGAACGCCACAATAATACACACCGCCGCGCCGGCCGGCCGAGAGCCATTAAAAAATATTCGTATCTCTTAATCCGGTCGAGACATTAAGATGCATCCAGGAAATTGTTTTCTCATAATTATAGGCGTCCCGCTCCCGCGGCCCGGGATTATGTGGTGCTACATTCGCACATAAATCGCACAAAATGGGACACTTCGGCGTCCTCGCACCGTAATAATTTCAGAGGAGCTCAGGACCACTATAATCTGAGCATAATCTGGCTGATAACGCGACCGTTTGGTTTAAATCCCGTGGATGTGGCCATGTTGTTTTCAGTTAAACTTTTTGAATGTGCCTAGATAGATAGCGCTTTGATTTGGCTGAGAGTCCATTCCTATGACGTGCATGCTTTTGGCACTTTTTTTACTACAATAAACTTAAACTTTTATAAGAAAACTTAGTCCTCCGCAGGAAAAATTATTTGATAACATAACAAGTCACAGTCGAAAAACATTGTTTCCATAGCAAAAGTGCTTTAATGGCTCACCATGGGATGTATGTTTTGTATGGAAAACTATGGCTTAATGGGAAAAAACTTTCCTTCTGGCGACGCGGAATTTTCTTACCTTTCCACAAATGCTTTACACTTAGACCCCCTTATCAATAACCGAAGAATAATCTTGGATTAATTACTCCATGTTTTGTCTTTGTTCATTGAATGACAAATGACATTTGAGATCGACTGAAACGAGGAATAAGCTCAATCTAGATTGAGCTTATTCCTCGTTTATTAATAAGGGGGCAAAGGTTTCTTACCCATATCTCAGGGTTTCTAGTAACATTTACTTAATTCTTAAATACCTAGTATTATTATAAATCCCAATTTTAGTTTGTTTAAATTTACACCTCACTATTTTTAATAACACGCAATTACGTCATAATCTCGTCAACACTCCCTTTAATTACTCGACGATGATCCAATAAACTATTTCGCTATGCCCTTTCATCGTATCGGAGACTCCCCACAGCGTCTATAATTGCGTCGTCAGATAATTCTCGAGACACATATGGTTACTTATTACGTGAAAACGCACGAGTGAACTTTGTAGGGTCGCAATATAGCGCATCCATCAAACATAATGCTTCCGGTGACGTTAATTGCTTTAAAATACACTTGTCTTGATGAATTTTAATCAGCCGAATTGAACACCATGTGCGTCTTTAAAATATTGAATACATAAACAGACATAGGTAAAAAATATAATGTTCTAAATACTCTTAATCTAATACATAGAATTCTCGTGTCACGGTGTGCGTAATTGAACTACTCCGAAACGGCTGGACCGATTTTCGTGAAATTTTACATGCATATTCAGTAGGTCTGGGAGCCGGACAATATCAATTTTTCATCCCCCTAAATGTTAAGGGTGGTCCCCACTTAAATTTTTTCTTTGGACAAATTTTTTGTTTTCATTTTTTATGATACATCATACAAAAATACATACAACCCTAAATTTTCACCTTTCTACCACCAACTATATTTTTTATGGCGGTATGAAGTTGGCTGGGACAGCTAGTCAATTTATATGTTTTTAGGTTTATTAAATTGCAATGTATTTAAACTTTCTGTTATTATTTTCCTACGCAATCTAAGCGCCCACTCAAACTGCCCTAAAGTTGGGTAAATATTTGGAAATTATGCGAACTCCATTAATTTTGTTTACTCGTAATTAAATTTCGTAAGTCTTCCGCCGGTACCTACCAGTTTTGATATCTCGTAATAAACATCTGAGGAGTTGACGCGGAATATCTTCACTCTAATATCGGCAACGGCTCAAACTTGGCAACACTGAAAGCAATGTCTTGCCATCCAGTATCTCCCATCTCCCCTTGTAATTACCGTCCGTCAATTACTTTACTCGAATTTAATTTAACTAATGAAGCATAATTAAAATATATATATTTATTTCCAAGACAACTGGTGGCGGAGGGATTTTGGAATGGGGCACAACTTTACGGTGATTTAACTCTGAAACGGAAATAGGGCTCCGATTGTGGACTAAAATTTCTAACAAGGTAATTTTAAAACGCTTTTGGCAGTGTTGCAATGGGAATTAGTCATCCGATGAGTGGAAGGGAGTAGCTATTGATTTTCATGGACGGAAAAACCAGAATGACTTATGAGAACACAACACTTCCTTAATGCGACGATGATTAAAATATTAGAACTCTTTCGAGTAGTGCTTAATCACTAATAATTTTCAGCATAATTCTTGAATGATGGTATTTTATTTTTACTATGGCTGATTATGTCTACATAATATAGTAACATAAGTATTAATTATTATTTATATTGTTAAATAAAACTAGTTTTTACGGGTTAATGCACGAAACTGTATTAATTTATTGACGTTTCGTAGCCTTTACAGGCTACGTCGTCGGAATCAAACTTTTATTTGGGTTTAAATAATAAAATAAAAGTTTGATTCCGACGACGTAGCCTGTAAAGGCTACGAAACGTCAATAAATAAATAAAGTTTCGTGCATTAACCCGTAAAAACTAGTTTTATTTAATGAGTGATGTGCGTGAAAACCTAGGAAACAAATATATTTATATTGTGTTAGTATGTATTAGTCTTAGCAACACGTCGTAAAATAATATATGAAAATCCATCGACACAAACCTTGAGGGAAAATTGTCTTCGAAGGACATTTTATATGTTGGATACAAAGCGATAAAAGACAGAACTTTTCTAGGCTAATATTGAAAAAAATACTTAGGTATTGCTCAGGGAGTAAACCTATGGACGTATATATTTCAGAGTGTCCGCGAAGAGCTGGGATGCGCGCGAGCACGCGTTCGCGAGCTGGAGGCACAGAACAGGGCGCTGAGCGCTTTGCTGGTGAGGCAGCTGCGGCCGCAGCCCCGGCCTTCGCCCGCCACGCCTCATACTCCGCTCACTCCACACACCCCACGAGATCTTCAAGGTAAAGCAGACCAGCTATAATAATAAAGAAAAACATGCTTCACCCATAGTTCTGATACTTAAGGAGTTTCACTACGTAGATCGCAAAAAAATGTTGTCCTCATCATCATCAGCTTAATTATGTAGGCTACTGCTGGAGCACAGTGCTTCCGTATCTATGATAAGAATTAGTGGGGGCCAATGACTGCAGATGCAAACGGGGTGCATAGCTTAGCGTTCCTTCCTAAACACGAAGTAACTCCCGAAGATATAGTATACAATAAGAAATTTAAACGAGGAACACTACTTGAGAGAAATTAGCTGCTGTCTGCAGTTCTTTTTGGAAGAAAGCACGGCGACTGCTTAATGTGGGACGGACTGTGTGCCAAAAAGGTTTATGATAGTTTCTTCTACTGCTAATGCGTCAATTAACTAGCACCCCAGTTTGTTGGCCCACCACCAGTCTCTCTTGTTTCCTAATTAGTAATTCTTTCTCCTTGGTCTTCGACTTTCAATCCGCCACAACCTTACAGGTTATATCCCCTAGAGGGCATTCCAATTCCTCAAGTGTCTGATGTTTGTTTTTCTCCTCAGTACACTTGGTGGACGTCGGGTCGTGCGGGTCTTTAGTCTCGTTCCGGGATTCGCCACCGCCCGCGCCGCCGACGCCGCAACCCCATCCGCTCAGCCACGACGACAAGCGGCGCCACCAGATCCTTGCTGACATATGGACTGAACTCAAGGTGCAGTATTGTTGTATAAACTACCAGCTTATGCCAACGATTTTGTCCGCGTAATAGTCAGGTTTTTTTTATATCCCACCGGAAACTTGTTTTTTCCGAGATAAGAAGTATCTTATGTATCAATGTAGGTAATAAACCGTCCAGCCGTTTTAGCATGAAAAAGTAATAAAAATCCATACAAAATTTCGCGTTTATAATATTAATAGAATTCTTAACAGCTCACGTTTCGCTTCTGTGTAAACTTGACTTTTTGTTCTCGAGCTTCTATACAAATATAAACCTTTCGTAAAAAGCATCCATTCCGTAAGAAGTCCACGTCAAATTTTGTCTTTTAGGAGTAAAATACGGTGTATTTTCTAAACCAGTGTTTTGTAAGATAGTGCACAAACTCTCTTTTGAAAAGACTTCTTTTACTTATGTAAAATAAAGAACGATTTACCTCAACCGGTTATTGTTGTCGTACGTTTTATATCATAACATTATTGTTCTCCAGGGGCTGGAGGTAACGCCAGCTAACCTGGCGCGGGCGCTATCCGCCGTGGACCCAGCGCTGTGGGCGCCGCCCGCCCGCCCCGCCACGCTCAGCCTCAACATGCCGCAACCTTGCACGGACTCCATCACAGGTCAGTTTACTGAATACTAGTGTAATCAGAGCTGTTCGCCGTGGAGCCTCAACATGCCGCAACCTTGCACGGACTCCATCACAGGTCAGTATAACTGAACACTATCGTAATCAGAGCTGTCCGCCGTGAAGCCTCACTCAGCCTTAACATGCCGCAACCTTGCACAGACTCCATCACAGGTCAGTATAACTGAACACTATCGTAATCAGAGCTGTCCGCCGTGAAGCCTCACTCAGCCTTAACATGCCGCAACCTTGCACGGACTCCATCACATGTCACTTTTCTGAACACTAGTGTAATCAGAGCTGTCCGCCGTGAAGCCTCACTCAGCCTTAACATGCCGCAACCTTGCACGGACTCCATCACATGTCACTTTTCTGAACACTAGTGTAATCAGAGCTGTCCGCCGTGAAGCCTCACTCAGCCTTAACATGCCACAACCTTGCACGGACTCCATCACATGTCACTTTTCTGAACACTAGTGTAATCAGAGCTGCCCGCCGTGGAGCCTCACTCAACCTCAACATGCCGCAACCTTGCACGGACTCCATCACAAGTCACTTTTCTGAACACTAGTGTAGTCAGAGCTGCCCGCCGTGGAGCCTCACTCAGCCTTAACATGCCGCAACCTTGAACGGACTCCATCACATGTCACTTTTCTGAACACTAGTGTAATCAGAGCTGTCCGCCGTGGAGTCTCACTCAGCCTCAACATGCCGCAACCTTGCACGGACTCCATCACAGGTCAGTATAACTGAACACTAGTGTAATCAGAGCTGTCCGCCGTGGAGCCTCACTCAGCCTTAACATGCCGCAACCTTGCACGGACTCCATCACAAATCAGTATAACTGAACAGGGGGTCATACGAATACCCCCCCTAATTTTAACTGATTTCACATGTTCTTACAGATTAGAGCGGATAAATTATTTTTAGAATTTTGTTTTTTTTATTAATATAAAAAAAATATTTCAGGCACCTGCTGTGAGAAGATCACCGAGGAGGACAACGGCGAAGCATGCGAGGCTGGCGCTGAATCCCCCGAGAGTGGCGCCAAGGACGAGGGTTACTCCACCATGTCGAGCGACGTGCAAGCCGACGCGTCGCGCCAGTCCGACCACGCTCCCGACCGCGCGCTGCCCGACCTCAACGAGGCCTCCGACGAGACCGATAACCAGACCATCGTGTCCATCAACCCGCGCGAGCGACGCCATGCCAGACTTATAACCGACGCTGACTACATCTACTTCCCTATTGGCGTCGCCTTCGCAGGCCTCAGAGGCAGCTACCCACCTTCAAGACCAGTACTACCTTTCCAACACGTCGTCCGCAGCTTTTCAGACTCTCATCTTTGTTTAAAACTCCTAGCGGGAACTACATGCCCTACCAGCTGTCTAGACAGTCCGACCCCGAGCTCAGGAGTATTAGTATTAGATCTGAAACCAGCGCCCGAAAGACCTCTGAGGAGACCCGCGATCGCGTCAACTACCAGCTCGGAGAGAGTGTCCTGGGGAAGTACAGTCGATGAACGCGCTGACGGTTCGCAATACGACGCCGATTATGTTCAACACTGGCTCGAATTGGACGACGCGAGATCGGCACTTCAGCAGCGACATAGAGACATAGCCGACTTAGAATATGATAGGGCTGAATTGGAAGATTGGAGCCTCTCTTTGTCTTGTGAAGATCTCAGAGACAGGCAGTCCCCGTTCGCGGAAATAACCACTCCTGGGCAAATATCGTTGTCCACCTTACCGAGTATTAGGGAAGATGATGCGCTAGAGCTTGAGGAGGACGTCGGCGACTGTTTATGGAATGACTGTGGATTTGCCACGATAGAGATTGATGAATGCAGGATAGGCGACGATCCGGATAACACGGACAAAAGATGGGAGTGTAGTGGAACTCATTCGCCCGGTGGCTCTTGGTCGAGTACTTCTGACGCTCCGGATAAAAGGTCTAGTACCGCTTTGAGTGAGGACGGTGATTGCGCAAATGTCGGTCTTGATTTCACGAGAGATTTCTATAGACTTGTGAAATACGAAAGCACAAAAAGCTTAGCTTCGAACTCGTCACGAGGCTTACCTGCGCCGGATGTTAGCAATCATTTGAGAGTGCACGACGTGCAGGCAGTGGCGCTACAAGATCGTGAACAAGCGCTCCAAAACGTGTTACACTTCATTGCGGAACAACAGAAGTATTGTCGTGATAGAGAAGAATCTGATTCGATGTCGTCGCGACCGGTATCGGAAATACGAGAACTCCCTCCGCCTTATGCGGCGGCGGATTTCGACGACGACTCGGTCGGTCCACGGAGTGAAGTCTCCGAAGACAGGCAGAGACCGGACTCTTTCGGTAGTTTCTCTGAAAACGATTCCTGTGATGTTATCCTCGGCGAACGGCCGAGGGTTCCGTATTGTGATAATATTTCCGAGCCAAGGTCGACCCCGAGATTCATCGAACGCGAAGATCCGTATGCGGAGTCGGAGGGCTATTTCAATGAATTCTCTCATATCGAAAACGCTGAAAACGAATTAGACGAGCATCAAATTCTTAAAGTGCAAAGAAAGAACGAAATAAATAGAACAATAGATGTCATAAATTCCACGGATGATGAACCACCTCTAGATCAATTGAAAGATGAAAGAAGTGATATAGAATCTAGTCGATGCACTGAACATCATTCAGCATTAAAAGAGAATACCGTTAACATAAAATTAAATCAGAAACCTCCAAACGATAGAGTGGTATTGGAGAGTAGTCTGATCAAATCGTCTAGTTTTACGTTTCCCAGTGAACCGGAGACTTCTTTCGTGGAGGAAGTTTTGAGCGCTTGCAGACGAAGCACAGGAGCTTTAGTTACCGTCCCGGAGGAGGAGGAGGGGTCATCGCCAGAGAACGGTTCCCCTCAAATGACTGAATCGAATACGACGAGCACTTCTACTGCTGAAACTGTGATAGTAAGTAATAAGAATGAAGTGACATTTAAGGAGATTAAGCCGAGGAAAGATAAGAGTCGGATCCCTACGTTGATGGGAGGTAAAAGGCCTCCGTCGTCGCCAAACAAGACGCGGTCGAAGATCCCGGTGGCGGAGAGGGGCAGACTCACGGCGTCGGTGTCCGCTGAGCCAATCATCGTGAAACAAGAGCACACGCTCAGCTTCCACGAAGCCGCCACTTCCAAAGATGTCATCGAGGAGCTCAATCGGTGAGATTCTACTTCTTCATTAAATCGGTATTGGTGTCGATTCTGGCACGATTTTCTAAACCTAAAATTCAGGTTTGAAAACAGTGAATCCTTATCTTTCCCTATACAGAATGAAAAGGGGACATTTATTATACATTTTGTTATATGTTTGGTTAGAAAATCATGCCAGAATCGACACGATTGAAACTCGTTCAAACAATTTGTTATTTCAATCAATAACATTATTCAAATATCGGAAAAAGAATAGGTACGAAACAACCATCCTTTATTTTCAATGTCATCCTAAAATCATGATATATTTAATCGTAACTTTACTCGAAACTAAAATAATTTCGCAAATGAATTTTAGTACCTCCTTTATTCACTTATTTCTTTGTAAAATAACATTTCAGGGTACAACCGCCTACTCTGTCTTTACCTACCTTACCTACTAGACCTTTTCTATAATTATTAAGAATGATTGTGCTATATTTCAGCATGATCCGCCAGAGTGAGTCGACAGCAGTGATGGAAGAACAACCGGACAAAAGTCACTCGCACAAAGACGGCGCGCTGTGGGCGCCCACCGGCTGGGTCCACGTCGAGAGGGACATCGACTTCAGCGACCCTAAGGTAACCATAGCAACCTCAATATCAGCCTATTAATATCCCCAATGCTAAGGCACAGGCCTTCCATATGAATGGAATAAGGAGATCGGGCCATGACCCACCACATCCGCCCAGTGCTTATTGGTGGGCGCTTACAACTGCAGATGCACTCGGGACCGGCGACGGCTTAAGTCGAAATCGCATCGGCGAAAGGCATTTAAGCGCTGTAGGTTTCAAGTCTGGGGAAACTCGGACAAAAAGATTTTTTTATTTTGTATTCTTTAGATTTGAACTTATGCTTTATTAGAAAAGAAAAATAGTACTAATTAAAAATAGCTTAAGAAAGTTTATGTCTATTGCCAACCAAGGTATACTGTAACACATGTTTATGAATAAAATTCTATTCTATTCTTCTGAAAAAAAAAGAAAGTAAGTCTTTTACTCTCTCTCACTGCGACATAGGCTTATTATTCTCGGCGCGCGCGAACCTGCTGGACTTGATTTTAGGGTCTAGCGACTCATCGCTATCGTCTGCAGTTCATACGATGACTTGGCCATTGCGAAAGTTTATTTATTTACTTCCGTTATATATTATTATTCCGTATAACGCGTTAGCCAGTTGCACTATTGAGCTCACACACTAAATAGCCTTATAATTACAGGCGCGCGCGAACTTACTAGACGTGATGTTAGCGTCAAGCGACTCGTCGCCATCTTCATGCAGCTCATCGCCCGCGGAACCTCCCCCGCCCCCGCCCGCGCCCGCGCAACCCCCGCCCCCACCCACGACCAACGCGCCCTACTCGCGTCTGCACCGCTTACACCGTTCCAGGAGACAGAAGACAGGTAAGACAACTACCTATCTATCTCCTTAGCGAATCTGCTTGACGTGATGTTAGCGTCGAGCGACTCGTCACCAACTTCATGCGGGTCTACCTCCGCGCCCGCACCGTCCCCGCCCGAGTCCAACGCGCCCTTATCGCGTCTGCACCGTCTACACCGCTCCAGGAGACAGAAGACTGGTAAGACAACTACCAATATCTTCAATGATACACAGAATAGTCTTCAATAATGCAATCCCAACTTCTCACCGCTTAAAGAGACAGAAGACTGGTAAGACAATTACTTTATTCGTGATTTAACTCCTCAATACTACAGGAACGAGATAACACCAACGCACCTTATTTGCGTATACATACACCGTCTATACCGCTCAAGGGAACAGAAGACTGTAAGACAATTACCTTATTATCTCCTTAGCGAACCCGCTAGACGTGATGTTAGCGTCATATTCATGCGGGTCATCGCATGCCATAATACGTGCCCTATCCGCTCCGGGAGACAGAAGACCGGTAAGACAATTTGGTGCCTAACGCTTCAATACTAGAGTAAAACGATTACCAACGCGCCCTATTCGTATCTGCACCGTCTACACCGCTACCAATCTGTTCAATGATACAGAGATAGTCTTCTACAATGCAATCACAACTTCTCACCGCTTAAGGAGACAGAAGACTGGTAAGACAATTACCAATCTCCTCAATAATGCAATTCCACGGTGATACCTACGCGCCCTACTCGCGTCTGCATCGTCTGCACCGCTCGAGGAGACAAGACTAGTAAGACCTACCTATCTCCCTACTAGACGTGATGTTAGCGTCAATTGACTCGTCGCCATCTTCACGCGGGTCATTGGCCGCCGGCAAAAGACTGGTAAAACCAACCTACTAACTTCTTTTCAGTCTTTTTATGAAAGAAAAAGTAAGGATGAGATTGGATTGTTTAGATTGTTAATGTTATTTTTGTTGTTATACGGTTCTTATTTATAAAATGGAATTGGTACGATCATTGCAAACGTTTGAAATCAGAGTTCTTTTTTGCTATTAACATTTTTCAGTGCTCAATTTCTTTTAAAAAGGGTTTTATACAAAATATATTTATAAAAATCTCAAAGCATTCAAAAACAATGTTCGTGTTTCATTTCTGAAGTGTGCCATGTGAGCTTCTAACTTATTCTAAACTCCTAACAAATATACCTAGACACATTTAGATAATTGTAATAATTCTTAAATTTTAGTTCCTACTACAATGCTGCGATTAACTTGATCCTACCGTTTTTATCAATTACTATACTTACAATATAAACGCGTTGGAATAAGTTAAAAACTCACATTAGCATTTAAGTTTTATTTATTATTCATTAAAAAAGGTCATCAGCCATCAATGCCATGACAAAACTCATTTTAAATATATATATTTTTTATAATAATCCACTTCTCCATATTAGTAGAGGAGCCCAAGCGGGGATTTTTGGATTTACTCGAGCGTGGCAGAATAACAAATGGGGAGATAAAACAAAATTTCAACGAACGGTCATGACTTTTGGTCGCACCCAAATCGTTAGTCTTTTGAATATAAGCCACTAGCGGGTTCATGTAACGTTTCTAAGAACGGAAAAAATATTGATCTGCCGCGGTTTGCATGATATGGGGATGGCCGTGCGAAGGGGTAGAATATAGGAAAAAATAACCGAGCGCGTCAGACATTGAGAACGGATGTTACGTGAACCCTCCAGTAGTCCTCCTATTCAAAAGACTGACGATTTGGACCCGACCAAATGTCATGGACGTTTGTTGAAATTTTGTTTTTGCTGCCCTAGACGTTCGGCCCTACATAGATGGCTCAGGTATAGTGGGAGTACTTAACTACGTGCAAGGTAGCTCCCCATATGTTATTCTGCCGCGCTCGAGTAAATCCAAAAATCCCTGCTTGTGTGTTTAAAGTAAACCCTTATCTATATTTTGTTGTTGGTTGATTGCTACTACATACTTTTTAAAGATTTAAGTATGTCTTCTTATATGAACGAGAAATAAAAACTCAATTGAACCAAGGTACTAATAGGCTAGTTGACCCTTTTTGGAAAAAGGATTTAAATGGTTAATAAATGTTCTATTAGACCGAAAAAAAATGTATTGTATTTTTTTAAACCTAGAAAGCTACAAATCTTTAATTTTAAAATAGACTTTTCATGGACATACAAAAACGCTGTCGGCCATTTTAGTCTATAGATTATCTATGCTATGACGTGAACTGTGGTAAATAAAAACTCGTAAACACGTAGAAAATTACTTTTAACTGAGTATATAATAAAAAAAAACATGATTTCTAATAAATACCACGAAAAATAAAGTAATTATCATTACTGTACTGTACGAGAATATAAAAACACATCCTTGAAGACTCCAGGAAAGTTGTGGATTAAAGTGCCGAAAGAAATTAACCTACGCAACTTTATTACACTTATTCATATGTTGTATCAGTTTTATGTTTATTACTACATTGTAATACTAAATGCACTGTATTTACATAGATGCCTTGTCGGTTCTCTGCTCCGCAGAGCAGAAATCGGGGTTTAGTGCAACAAATTCACCAACCATCAATGCGTCAATTCTTGGCAGATTTGTGCTTTCTGCTTTCACAAAGCCGGCATCCATAAGTTTACTGTTTTTTTCTTTCCTAAAGTTAAAAGTGTTTTAAGATAAATTTAGTCAGACGAAAGAATCCACCTACAGTAACACGCGAATGACATTTAGTTGTTTACCACAAGAGACGTCAAAATCATGGCGTATGTGGCGAACAGCGTTTTTAGTGTTTAAAAAATATAGACTAAAAAATATTTTTTTAAATTAAATTTCTACAGCAATCTTCTGCTTTTATGAAGTGAAATCGATATATTAAGGTTCCTTAGACTAAATACTTTAAGAAATAAACATTTATTTAATACAATTCGACATGAGTAAACTAGCCTATTGCAGTCATAAGTTATTCGGGTCATTCGAAAATCCGGACACTGAAAACAACGAAAAAATTTGATGTTTTTCTTCGTCACCCATTTTTACTATTAGTTCTACAAGCATAACTGGGCGGAAAAAAGTTCTGCTTGGTTTTACAGGCCTCTTTCGGTTTTGTAAAAATGGCCATCCGAATAATCGAGTTTTTTCTTTGTTGGCATTTTCTCTTTATCTTTACTGGGTGTGGTATTGTGGTTAAGTTTGTTTTAATAATGATTTTTGCAATTTATTAGTAACTTCTTAAACTTGTAACTAACTACCCTTATTATTCAATTGAAATATATTTTATTGCGAAAATCTAATTACAATATATAGTACTTACTTGGTATGTGGTGTAGTTATAATTATGTGTAACTAAATCATTTAATTACCTCTTTATTATCATTGAAATAACTATTTTGTTGTACAGTTCGTAAACATTTACTTGTGGCTACATTCACGTCTGTCTGTTTCATGTGGTTCATTTCATATTATGTCTATCGGTCACAGTCACGTCACGTTTCCGCTCTCACTCGCACGCACCATCTCACTCTCTTGCCTCATTACGAGTAGATGTTGACGCAGATACACCGCTCCAAAAATAAACAATAAAGTTTTATCTATCGAAGCTGTATAATTTTTAATCTACTTTGCCTGAATGTCAAATACAGTTTGACCAAGATCTCGTGGTGGGTGGCCGAATTCAGAACCAATTTTAGGAAAATAAAAATAACCTATTTTTTTTAGAGGAGATAGATATTGTAAATTATAACGTAGTTTTTAGTGAGAAGATCTTTCGTAATTTGTAATCCTCATTTCACCACCTATACACCAGCATTGCACTCCTTTCAATGTCATTAAGATGCCACAAGATCTTGGTTGCACTGTAAATATGCATACCTATTTGAAAGCGTCGATGCAGCAATGAATAGCGGGCAAAGTAGCTTTGGCTAGAGTAGAGATAGAACAAACGAGCGGTGTATGCGCGTCGCGTGGAGGCGGCGGCGTGGCGCGGCTCAGCGGAGTGTGTGCGCAGACGGCCGCCCCTAGCCGCCGCCCGCGCCCGGCCCCTGCGATGACGTCACAGCGCGCGCGCGTGACGTCACCGCCCCGTGCCCGAGCCCGCGTGACGTCACCCGCGTTGTGCCGCAGCCGCCGCGCTGCGCAGTCGCGGGCTGGCCGTGCTGCGATTCCCGCGCGCGCGCCGCCCCTCCATCCTCGGCCGCGACGGCTTCTTCGTCCGGTACGGCGACCGGGAGCGCGCCGCCGTCGCCACCTTCGACTTCCTCGACGAAATCTCCGGCGGATCCTCCCCGGACACCAAAGACTGTATAAATTAGCGTTAACGCCAAATTATATTTTTCTATCTCGCTTGTGACGGCCTGCGTGCCGCTGACGAAACCCGCTCGAGTGACTCGTTTCCCCGTTTGCGATGTTGAAGATTGTCTTCTTAGGCAGCTCCGCTCGATAGAGCTTGTAGGATATTGGAACACCTACGAGATGACGCACTCGACATCGGCTTGTTTTGTGATGCAGTTTTTTATGTATCGAAAATGTTTATGAATATGTTACGAAATTCGGCGACTGTAGTGTAGTGCGCGAACTGCACGATCCACATGGCTGCAGCTTTGGGTCCCGAGTTAAGTGTCATAACTCCGCTTAATAGAAAACTATAATTCTTTACTCTTTATAGTTAAGTCAGGTGTGGGAAAAGACACGACGAAAACAGAGGTTTTCTATACAAGTGTAACCTATATTGTGAATGTTCCGAAATCTTAATAAACATCGACTGTAAATTCACAATAAAATAGCGAGCGCGGCGATTTTAATTGTCAAATAACAAACAATAATTTGCATTGATGTATTTATATGGATTGAAAAAAGATTGTCGATGCTGCGCCTACGCCGCACGACGCACTTTCATTGTGAATAAGGCCTAACGCTTTCAACGTTCAAATGTCATGAAATTTTAATTTTAAATGCCTTTGAAATCGATAAAGTAAGCGCTTTGCAATGCCACCAACAATAAAAATTATATTCTACTCGACAAACCCTATCCCCGCGATGTCTAGCTTGCTTCGATTGAACACACGACTTAGATAAGACGAACTAACTATTGACTAAGTAAATGAAAGCTGCGGCCTCGAAGTAATGTGATATTTTTGTATATACTGTAAGTCCCACTTATTTTCATACATTTAAATGGATTCCTTTCTTACCGAACGATGCGTTACTGTTGGGTAAAAGTGTGAAATAGGTACTGTGTGTTTCTGAGTCTGTGGTACACTAAGGGAATGACTGAGTCGTGCGAGGGTAAGAAGGATGCCAGAATACTTCTTTCTCTTTCTAAATTTAACCTAAAAGAAGGGTAGAAGAGCTTTTATCATCGCACAACTGCGGTCGAATAATACGTAGGTACTTATGTAAATATCGGTTACGATTTACTTATCGAGTTAGCAACTAACTATTATTAATAAAGAATAGTCATCTATAACGATCGATTAACATTATGAATCCATTAAATCGAAGGGTACTAAAGTATGTTAGGTGTACATAGATATTATGACGTCATTGAATGCTATTTATTGATTTGTATCCGTTGCGAATTGTCGATCATTTGTGTATACTTAGGTACATATCATGAAGTTGTATTATTTCTTAAGGTGATGATTCTGTAATGTTAAGTTGTCGAAGATTGTGGCAAAAGCATTGGGTGTGATATACGAAAAAACGATACGTAGTAACTGTATTTTTAATTAAACGAAATAGCTTCTTAAATATTTTCTTTCAAACAATGAAATTTATGGATGATGGGTTTAGTGATATTTTTTTAATATTATAACTTTATATAAATAGTGAACAGGCTGTAATAAAAAACAAATAACTAATACCTTAAGTTTATTGAATTGGTTACAATCATGTTAAAATAAATAGTTACAAGGTAATTTTTTTTTATTATTATATTTAAACAATTGTTACTTTATGTAATAGATACACATATAGATACTTATATACATAAGCAGTTATTAGCCACAATCATTGACAAACAATTTTCTTTGTACCTACTATTAAAATATTTTTTTTTAGTCGGTTAGAAACCATTGCGAAATTGTTCTCGAGGACTTTATTGTATTTAGTTATTTTAATGGCGCAACCAAAGCGATTTTACACAAAATATTGCCACCACTCGTTACACTGTGACACATTTTTGTTAAGTTAGTTTGGTGAATTATAATTTGATTCCAGCTTGTTTCAAATGGTAGAGATTGAAGACAATAAAGGAAGATTTATACCTATTTATTAATATATATCGATATGACGACTCGATGGATATCTAAAATATAAACGTAGTGTAAGAAGACCTTAGCGATTTTTTTCCATCCGAAATATTAAACTTCCCCCGTATGGATACATACTTATGTGGAATTACTTTACACGATTGGGCTTTCAGATTTCTCTCATTGCAAAAGTAGACTTAATTTTAAAGCACATAAAATATCTTTTGTTGTATGATGCCATATAGGATTTTTTTTGGAAAGGCCTATTTTGTTAATTTCATAATCAATTCCATGTTTTCTTAATTTTAGCAATTTGCCGTGATATTTTACTTTACTTATTTACTTCTTTATTAACTTGACATAAATCATTGGCGCTATATAAACTATACCTAACTTATTGATAGTACTATTCTGTACCCTAAACATGAACTAATATCGAATTCGAATAGTTTGCAAGTGCAAAATATCAATGCCAAATTTTTGTATGGAAACTTGAACGTCAGCGCCACAACGAACGAGAACTAAAAATCAGTATATATTTGACATAATATCTAAATCGAATTATACTGTTCGAATTCGATACTGGTTCGTGCTAAAGGTACCTACTGTACCCCTAGCACGAACCAATATCGAATTCGTATCGTTTGCGAGTCCGAAATGTCATTGTCGTAGGTGTAAATGTGTAGGTACTGATTTTTAGTTCTCGTTACGTACTTTGTGCCGCTGCTGTTCGAGTTTCCATACAAAATTTGACATTGACATTTCGGTTTGCAAACTATTCGAATTCGATAATGGTTTGTGCTAGGGTTACTGTAATAAAATTCAATTTTTTCACCTCAGAATCCGTGCGTGTGCTTTGAAATTTATTTGATATCCGTGTTCTAATTTTAAATCACACCGCGTATTCCGAGATGGAATGTGAATTTGTTCTTGCAGAATATAACTGCTGTTCTTAAAAAAATATAGGTGTGCTAAACTTCTGCTTTTTCTAAATATTTGCCCTTTCCAATTGTGCTATGATTCTCTTATCTGGTCAAAAACCAATATAGTTCTATTACAGTTTTGCTGCCACGAAGAAAGTTTATAATGATATTGTAGATAGTTTATCCGTCCAAAGTTAACAAATATATTAAATAGGCAAGTATTGGTGCCAATTCTGGCGTGATTCTTTAAATTTAAAACTAAATTTAACATCAGTCTCTTCTTTTCATTCTGTATAGAGAATGACAAGGATATACTGCTGTCAAATTTAGGTTTAGGTTTAGAGAACCATGCTAGAATCGACACCATTGTATAATTAAAACGTACTTACTGCCGTTTGGATTTTAGTAATCTTATTTAATCATTGTCTACAAATATTATTGCTTTTTAAAATATTAATTCCATTGAGTATGTATCCAAACGCAAAATATCCTATTTTACTGTGAATAAAATAATAATTTTAAGTAGTAACTTCAGATAAAAATATCTTGAATATTTTCCACAACATTGAAATGTGTAAGACCTTTTCGAAAACTTGTTAATTATTTTATTAAATTACCTATATTACCTTTCAGAATTGGCATGTTTATAGTTTTAACATGAAATTCATTTAAATCATATTTAAACATAACCACATGTATTTATTATAAATATCAGTAGAATCAGTACTGTCAAACTACCGTTGGTTTTGAAGCACAAGCATGAGGATGTAAATGTCGGAAATTCGTAATCGTTGGTATAATGGGTGCATAAATATGTTTGTGCATACTTAAGAGATAGAAATACTTGAAATAGGTAGGTACTTTGAACAGTACAAAATGTGTAGAGTAACAGTATAATTTAATTATCTACTATCACAGATGGGTTCAATAAACGATTCCGTTCCCAAATAAATACTTTGTTTTATTTATATTACCTTTGTTTATTTAATTACAGAACGATAACCAGCATTTCAGTTTAAAGGTTTTGCGGCCAAAGATGAAAGTTTTGCCAATGAATGCCAATTGATCGGTGACAATTAACCGAAAACCGCGACATGTCATTTGATCGAATAACAAATAATTAATAGCTCGTTATGCCAATAGATTAAGAACTAATTAGATTGATTTTTTTATGATCAAATTGCAAATAATCAAATGGATCGATGTGTCAATTATCGAAACCAGGATTGTTTTCTTTAAGGAATAATGAAAATCCCAGAGTTTAAGCAGTAAAATTATATTTATATGTCAAATTGTCAACACTTTTATTGTAACCTGTTAATTGAAATGAACTTATTGCAACTTGTTTTATCGAAATTTCGATCTAATGTCACAGTGATCTATGGTTAATCGACTTATTGAAATTTAGATCAAATGGCATAGCAATATAACGGGTTTTCGGTGAATTGTCACTGATCAACTGGCATTCGATATGGTGTAGAAAGTTTTTTATTTGCTTGTTGCAGCTACACCCTATGCTCCTAATATTTAGCTTAAAAACTGTAAAAGGGATAATGGTGTCGATTCTGGCACGATTAACTAAACCTAAACTTAGATTTGACAACAGTCCATCTTTGTCTTTCTGTATACGGAATGAAAAGGAGAGACTGTTTTTAAATTTAGTTTTAAGTTTAGAGAATCATGCCAGAATCGACACCAATGACTAACTTTATTTTTCGTTTATCAGGAAGATTATCAAAAAGTATAGGACACCCATTTTATCTTTATTTACATAATCAAAATATTACACAGATACCTATATTGATTTGAAATAACGTATGACGTCACGTCTTAGTACAATTTTTGCTTGGAAGTGACGAACCGCCACGACAGGTTCACTACCAAATTTTGAGGTGCTCTATCTTTGTGTCTGTGACGGACGGACGGACGGATTAACTAGAACCCCTATTATAGCTAAAATCGATAATTGTTTGCGTTGTCTTATTTCCGAACAATGTGAATGTTGGCGATGACTTCCTGGAGTGGAGTATCCGTTTGTTGACAGCATTTCCAACGTTGACTTAGTAACTAAACAATTCGCTGTCATTGTCCGAGTTTTCCTGTTATCAGCTACGCCAAAATACGTGAACTAATCGCGTGCGCATGGCGACGATCGAAAAGCAACCTTATTGTAGACCTGAAAACCGTCAAAGATCACGTAGTTACTTACCTAACCTACGTAACTAGTACGAAATAATATATGCCCGTACTCAAGTATAGTATGTTTTTAAAACGCTCATTAGCGTAAATCGTTGGGTGTGACAGCCTTGGTGTGTTATCTTCACACAACTTTCTTCATAATACCGCATAAACTATGTACCTACATACTTACCAGTATGGTAGGTACAGTCTGTGCGGAAAGAGAATGGGCGTGGCGAAAAACGGAACTAACATTAAGATTTTTATTTATTTTGGCAATCAAACCCAGCAATCTGTAAAACGGCAAAGTTTTGTATTGATACGGATATGTTTGTTGTTGTGTTTTCTTGCGGTTTTTTGTATTTAATCATGTCTAAAAGGGGTAAAAACCTTACAAATACGGTAGAAAAGCACTACAGCGCCCTCCAATCTAAATCCCATTCTCTTTCCGCACAGACTCTATGTGTCTATAGGTGTTTAGGTGTTAGGATTCGTATGTACAGACCATAGAGCAACACTGCCGAAAAATTCACAAACCGTTTTAAGAATACTACATTTACATACCGGCGGCGAAGTAATATTACCACCTGTTATTTTAAAAAAAAATTGAAGTGAAACTTCTTTACGCACGCTTGATTTGGGGGGTAAGCTGGCAAATGCGGTACGCGTTACGAAAAGTGTGTTCGGGCCAGGCGAACGGGAGTTGCGTGAGGGATATAAGCAAGAGAAAGCAGTGCGCGCGCACATCTTCTTTCTCTCTCTCTAGTAAGTGATAATATAACATGCATGTATATATTGTTCATATATATATATATATAATATATTTATATACAGATGAGGCTAAAGAAGTTTCACTTCACTCGTTTTTTATATCTATAGTTCTTAAGTCTGTTTCCGCGTGAGGAGGATGCTCTCAATTTTTCGTTTTTTTTCTTATTTTATTGTTGTTAGCGCATATCTCCGAGGTTTGTGGACCGATTTTGATGATTCTTCTTTTGTTTGGAAAAGTTCGTGACCGAGATGATCCCATATTAATTTGGTGAAGATTCTGATAAATACTTTCGGTACACAAATCTAGTTTGTTTTTTTAAGAAATACGAAAGAGCGCTTGCAGATCAGACATCTATATTTAGTAAGTTGATGTTGCTGTGGCTTATAAAAAGTGAAAATTAAAAAACTTTATATAAGAAATACGTACCTTATACACATTCTTTGCTTATGTCTAAAGTACCTTTAAATTTAAATAATATTTGGGAGTCGGCGCCATGTATGTCTAATAGCTCAGAGATTTACTTCGTGGATTGGCATGGCACCGACATACAAAAATTAATTAAACTTCTAAGACTTAAATAAAGAAAATGTATTACTTCTTAATTTTTAGTGGTTTCGTTTCTACGAAGTCGGTTTTGATTTTTTTATTAAATCACTCAATGGTATTTTAACGGTGAATAGTAATAGAAATACCTTAGCATTTGGTCGCTAGCCCGAAAACGAGTGCCAATGGAATTCGGTTAAACGACTAAGTGTAAATAAACGGAATCGAGTACGCCCGTATTCGTATGTGTTCGTTTTGTTTACCCAAAACCGTCTTCCAGCCTTAGATTAAAACAAAAAGGGTAGATACGGCACTAGCCTCACAAAAGTGATCCGCATGAATTGTGGTCCACGACCCTAATCGCTTTAGTCACAACTTGATATGCAAACGACGTACATGTGAACGCCAAAAAGAAACATTGCTAATATTTTGTGTTTATATGATAAAACAATGCCTTAGTGTTTTTTTAAAAAGTGCTCAAATTGCTCAAGAACTAAAAATAAAACCCACGGCATCACTTTTCATTCGTAAGTACTATAAAATATATTTTTTCATAAATATTGCTGTCTGTTTTGAATCTTATTCGGTAGTGACGTCGAGTACTGGTCGCGTGATTGGTCGGTAGTGCAGTGACGCGGATATTGCCGTCTCGTTCGCGCTGCCGTGGGATCAGTTTTTGTTTCATGCAAGTATGAGTGTACCGTATCTACCCTTTTTGTTTTAATCTAAGCTTCCAGCCCGTAATTCGAGATTTCTTTCGTGCACCCGAATACGGGCTAACGAAAACACCAAATGTAATACGCTATTAGTCAAATCAGCACCTAGATACGTAATTGTTGTTTATTTTTATAAAAAGTGCATTTATCATGTTTGATTCTTGTCTTTTTACTAAGTAGGTAAATCGTGATAGCTTTTCGATTTAACATTTCAAATTATCAGATTATCGACTTATCGATAAATCGGATAATAAATACTCATTTTATAAATTCATAACATCAGGAATAAATATATACTCAGGGACCATATTTAGTAAATCAAAGAATAAATTGAAAGCTGTTTATTTAAAAATGGTCGAGGCCATATAAATGTATACAGTTTAACGTTATCTTTTGCTATAACAAATTTATAAATGTTTATTATATTTTTCTTTCTATGATTTAACTGCTAGATTTTTAAATCCAAAGAATATTTATTATTATCTAATAGCAGAAAATGTTGTTTCGAATCCTGTCTGAAGCCTGAACTGCGTTATTTTTTTTTTGTATTTTTTTTTTATTAAATAAATGTAGAAAATATAAGGGCCTCTATGATACCTCGAAGTTAGAGAAACTAAAAACTTCTTTTCCGAATATCTCAGTATACGAGTAAAGGACTAGAGTTCATAAACATTATGGTAAGTACATTAACTTACGAAAAGAGTTCGTGATTTGTGAGAAAAACGAACAATTAACAAATACAATTACCTAAGTGACATCCTTCGTTCACGTCACGTCACTTTCACAGTACACATCAGGAACGCTGCCTTATCTTCTTCATGTTCTTGAGACCTGAAAACCGTTAAAATGCAAATAAAAATATTTATTGCAAAGCGAAACGAATTGATTTGGACAACTAAAGAGTTATCTAAATTGGATGCTAATTTTAAGGAACACGGACTTGTTATCGTGGCTGTTATGAAAAGTAGGACACGCTTATTTTCTTCTGTAATGTTGATAGAGTTTTTATAATATAACATTTTCGGAAGCATAGTTCCGAGTAAATAGAATAGCTATTAGTTGGTATTATAAGTTCTTTCTTAAAGTTGCGCGGGCAGTATACAGTAGTGCCGGAACATCACCCCTGCCGTCTTCAAAAACGCGGCTAAATGACAAAACCAACTTTTGAGATATAGCCAAAAAACGGCGCGTATACTTTATTAAATTATTGCTCATTTGTAACCATTCATCACATGACGGATTTTTAGACTTAAACTATAAAAGATACGAATACTTGCTAAAGACAGATCGATAAAGAATTAAAAACTGTATAAGATGCAATCTACTATATAAAAATAAGTCGGGTTTTCCTTCCTGACGCTATAACTCCAGAACGCACGAACCGATTTCCACGGTTTTGCATTCGTTGGAAAGGTCTCGGGCTCCGTGGGGTTTATAGCAAAGAAAATTCAGGAAAAATTATAAAAAAAAAACTTCTTTTAATCACCGAACGAAATGTTACATAAAAAGAAGCCATCTGGTGGCGAAACGGAGTTCGCCGGGTTTGCTAGTTTAAGAATGAAATATCGACCACATGTCACTTAGCCGCACTCCAGGGGGCCAATCGCCTAACGGAAATGCTTTGGGAAACGCTAACGCTTACGATTTTATAGGTATTGTTATTTCTAGCCGCCTGAGGTTTTCGAATACCTCACGCAATTTTTTTTTAATATTGTTATTACCAATGCAAAAGAAAAAGAAAGAGCGCGAGGCATTTGAATACCTCAGGCGGCTAGAAATAACAAAATAAAATCGTAAGCGTTAGCGTTTTCCAAAGCATTTCCGCTAGGCGATTGGCCCCCAGACGTGCATTATCTGCGGTCCTCAGAATGCGGGCCGGGTAACCGGTACATGAGTATTAAAGTATTATCTAGTGTTTACTGGGTAGGGCCCTGTTGATTCCACCGAGCCTCTGGGCTGTCCGAGTCTTCAGATATCCTGTTCGCGCTCTTCCCGGTATCCCGAGAGGCGTAACGCCTTTTCCAGATATAAAAAAGATCTTCCTTTAGCTGCTCAGATCTCAAGTGTAGAAACAGCCAGGAGATCATCAGGTTAACGAGAAGATAAGGGTATGAGGACACCAGAGTTGAAGGAAGCAAGAAATACTAAGTAAATAAAGGAGTTCAGATAGTCGGAAATGATGGGAAGAATCAAGTTCAGGCAATATATTATCTAAGTTCAGTGTGGGAATGTAAATTAAGCAACTTTTTCGCGATTTTCGTTCATAGGATCATTATCATCAACCTATTAATGTCCCCAATGCTGGGGCACAGGCCTTCCCTATGGATGGAATAGGGAGAATGGGCCCACCACGCGGGCCCAGTGCGGATTGGTGGGTGATAACGACTGCAAATGCAGCGTGGACCAACGGCTTAACGTGCCTTCCGAAGCACGGAGGAGCTCGAGATAGTAATTTTAGGTCACCCATCTAATGACCGACCACTGCGAAGGTTGCTTAAGTTCAACGATCGCAGCCGAACGCGCTAACCACTTGCGCCATCGAGCTCCTCGTTCATAGGATAGGTGGCACAAAAACTGCTTTAAAGCTACTCCATGCTCGAGAAGATACGTTAAGACGTCCGTCCCAGCTACTTGCAGTCGTTAACAATCAACTAATCTACACTAGACCACGTGGAAGGCCTATGCCCCAGAAGTGGCATTATAAATAGGCTGATGATGAAGATGGTTGAGACACGTTCGAATATCATAATCACACATAACTCACATTAGGTGGAACAAAATTCAGTAGATCTTCCCAAAGAAGATTTACAACTTACAATGGTGTCGATTCCGACATGATTACTAAACCTAAACTTAAATTTGACAACGGTGTATCCTTGTCATTCTCTATACAAAATGAAAAGGAGAGACTGATGTTAAATTTAGTTTTAAATTTAGAGAATCATGCCAGAACCGAGACAATTGTTATAGTAACTGACAAGCCAGCGTTTAAGCGCCTTTTTTGTGACAGTTTAACCGCAAAAGTAACTGGCGTTGTATCAACGTAAATATCATTGTGACAATCCTACTTCCTATTAACATTATAAATGTGAGTTTGTGTGTGTCTATATTTGTTACTTAATCATGCAAAAACACTAAACGGATTTGGATGAAATTTGGTACGCATATAGTTTATGATTTGGATTAAGAAACAAATTTTTTATCCCAGAAAATGTTCAGATTCCTGTGGGATTCTCGAAAGTCGCGAGCGGCCGCTAGCCGACAAAAATAATGGATAAGAGTACATGTATCTTCTACAATTCTGATTATACATTCATAATATTTTCCCTACCTAATGCCAATTTCGACGGTTTTGTTTCGTTTCTATTGTTAAATATGGCATTGTTAGCAATGCAAATTTCTGAAAAAACACTGGGTGGTTACTGTACCTACTGTCTAATTTGCTACGCAGCGCAACATCTGTATATTTTTAAAGAAACATTGTGTTTACTACTGGTTAAGAATACTATTATAATATCCTTAAGGGCGTGTTTACCCTAAGACCCAAAGGGCCATGGCTCGGGATTAACTGAGTCCTCGCCTTTTTTTCGCCTGTACCCCGGGTGCGGGGGAGGACGAGAACGGGGACCGGCAGAGGTGCGGGCTTCGGGCGCTTGTGATTCTGACAAGAATGTGTACCTTTACCCTGTAGACAAGGACTCAGTTAGGCGGTCTACCTATAGGGACGGCTGCAAGAGCTGCGAGGGACGGCAGAGGCTTGCAAAGGTCTTCGTAGCTGCTTCGCATTTTGACTTGATTTATTAGTTCTTCTTCTCTTAGTTTCATTCGCCTAAAGGGACAGCTTTGTAAATCGCTATCGCTCTTCTTTAATATTGTTATTACCAATGCAAAAGGAAAAAAAAAGCGCGAGGCATTTGAAAACCTCAGGCGGCTAGAAATAACAAAATGAAATCGTAAGCGATAGCGTTTTCCAAAGCAGTCCCGTTAGGCGAATACTCAGTAGCCGGGGCGCCAGATTTTAAATACGCCCCTACTTATCCTAATTCTATCGCCCTCTCGTTGTCTTTACTAGCATGTACCAAAGCTTTATCAATGGCAACAATTAGTTACAAAGTAGCAATAAATGCCAAAAAAATTATCGGCGTAGCGAAATTTCCGTTGGAAACGAACCACCCCGATAAAATACTGCAGGCCAATAACATTATTGTATAATACCTACACATCTAGATCAAATATTATATTCTGAAAAATGTATGTAAAAGATGTAAGTACTTCGCTGTTAAGGTTCTGCCAGCTATCTGTTCATTTCGGCCTACTTATTCCTAAGTATACTTTGGCTGAAGTAGTTTGGATGAGCAAGAGGAAATTATAGTTCTTAAAAATCCAATACGCAGCCAAACGGCCAATTGCAGACCGGTCAAGATAATATATCGGCCGATTCACGGAATTGTGTTCCGACTAAGATCACGGTTCTGGCAGTTCTGGTTTTATTAAATGGCGAAAAAATTTCCTACTACTTCCGATAAAGTTGTTGTAGTTAACCTACGAACCACGTTTTTTTTAATACGGAACACAACACAAGGCGAATTCATAAATCGTCATAGCATGTAACAAAATGTAGCTTGAAATTACCAATTCAAGATTTTAATATTCCATACAGTATTAAGGTACTTATATGTGAGTACTAGGATGTTGGTGCGTCTGTTCCATTTTTAAAGCTGAACTGAATTTCAATAGACCAGCATAACTCCTCAACAATACATGATATTATATACCCTAGATACACCAAGTGCGCTCAAAATGTGTCCCAATCAAGAAGTGCTTGAACACCACTTAAGCACTTCTTGGTTCACAGCAGTGTAACCAGGTCTCCCGAATTTACAGGAGATCTCCTGTTTTTCTGAACTTTCTCCTGTTCTAGTGTTTTTAATACGATTTTATTTTTTAAATTGCATGTTCAGTTGCATTTTCTACCATTAATAATGTAGGTAACCTTAATTATTATAAAATGTTACTGTGTAAAAAAATACCGAGCTTTGAGGGGCCGCCCCTCAAAGCTGAAAGAAGAAGATGCCACAGAAACACACTTGTTACTGGCCTTACCAATTCTGGGGGGCGGGGGTGCAAATCGGAAAAAGTACGCTTCTGCATTTACTGTTTTTTCATGAAGCTCTTTTCATACATCTACTGTTTTTTTCTATAACGCCTCCCGATTTTTAAAAATCGGACCTGGCAACACTGCTTCACAGTCACGCGCGGACCGTTGCGTTGAAAAGTCAAGATGCCGCAGAGCTCCGTGAAAAAATACGAAAACAATACTGATACAGCGCATTTAGAATTTAGCGTAGAGACAAAGAAATAAGGCCTATTTCTAATTCTTCCGCATATATCAAAATTTTACGAGCTTGCATTTCGAAATGTCGTATTTCTTTTAAATAAGACCTTATACAGTATGCATTAAATGTGACTATCAATGTTTAAATAATGCCTTATATTGTTTTAACTACGCGATCATCTTACGGAGCTCCGTGGATCGTCCAATGTACCTTTTGGACAGGTTTCGGCCACGATATTGTTTGTGCTGTTGTATCTAGGCTATTTAATATCGTTGATTACAGCTTCAATTAAAAATTGGTGATTTATAAGCATGTGATTATAAATATTACTAAAGCTTAATAACTCTTGAATTGTGGTAATAAAATGGGGGTGTAACTAGTTAGTATAATATCTTACTGAACTGCCGTTACTATTACGAAATATTTATATGTATGTATTTTTAATTGTTTAGTGGATAATGTAGTATTTTTGGGGAAAATTACCTAAATATGAAT